AATTGGACCCGGGGCCGGACCAAGAGTAGATGAATGATGTGTATGTGTCATCCATAGTAAAGTATAGTAATATTCCCCCATAGTAAGCATAGTAATTAATCCCCCATATAGTAATTCATCCTCCATATAGTAATTCATCCCCCATAGTAATTCATCCCTCATATAGTATTTCATCCCCCCATATAGTATTTCATCCCCCCATATAGTATTTCATCCCCCCATATAGTATTTCATCCCTCATATAGTAATTCATCCCTCATATAGTATTTCATCCCTCATATAGTATTTCATCCCTCATATAGTATTTCATCCCCCATATAGTATTTCATCCCCCCATATAGTATTTCATCCCCTCATATAGTATTTCATCCCTCATATAGTATTTCATCCCCCCATATAGTATTTCATCCCTCATACAGTAATTCATCCCTCATATAGTAATTCATCCCCCATTATAGTATTTCATCCCTCATATAGTATTTCATCCCCCCATATAGTATTTCATCCCTCATATAGTAATTCATCCCCCCATATAGTATTTCATCCCCCCATATAGTATTTCATCCCCCCATATAGTATTTCATCCCTCATATAGTAATTCATCCCTGATATAGTAATTCATCCCCCATATAGTATTTCATCCCCCCATATAGTATTTCATCCCTCATAAAGTAATTCATCCCTCATATAGTATTTCATCCCCCACAGTACTATTCCCCCCCCCCCCTTCTAGTAAGCCAAGTCCCCCGTGTCAATTCACTTACCTTTTGCGTTCCTCTCGCTGTCTTCCCGCGCCGTTCGGGTCTTCAGGGCGGACTGTGAGAGGAGCCTAGCTCCCCTCCCCCTCACGTTCGGCACGCTGCCCCGCCTACACACATCCTGACAGCCACATCCGCAAGCCGGATTAAAAGGTCCGCGCGGACTTTTGGGGCTGCCAACCGAGAGGAGGCAGGGGAGCGGCCGACCGAGAGGAGGGAGGGGAGCAGGCGCCCGGCACACAGAAGAGCCGCATTAGACTGGGTAAAGAGCCGCATGTGGCTCGCGAGCCGCGGCTTGCCGACCACTGAATCATTAGATTCTAATGATTGGTCTATTTGTGAGCCGAAGCCACATGTTACAGATGAAATTGGAATTTTTCCCACGGCACACCAGACAATATCTCACGGCACACTAGTGTGCCGCGGCACAGTGGTTGAAAAACGCTGGTCTACAGTGCTGGACCCACTTCAGTTCCATACCTGTACACAGGGGCCCCATCCCACCATACCTGATCTATCCCCATTATCAGACCATGCTGGCCAGGATCGAGTACCCACACTCCATCAACCTCACCCTGCACCAGAGTGACAACACCCCTCCTACCTGTACACAGGGGCTCCCCAACACCCCTCCTACCTGTACATGGTGGCCCCCCAACACACCCCTCCTACCTGTACATGGTGGCCCCCAACACCCTACCTACCTGTATACAGGGGACCCTAACCTCATACCCCCTGTACAACACCACAGACCTTTCACCATTTTTGTTACCCGTCTCTGGACGCATCCTAGAATTCTATTCGCTTTCCCCACTACCTGGCCACACTGTTTGCTCATTTTGCAGTCATCTGAAATAAGTTCCCCCAAGTCCTTTTCCTCTGTAGTGCTGACCAACCTTGTACCCCTAATGTACTCTCTCAGGGGATTCTTTTTCCCTAGGTGCATTATTTTATATTTGGAAACCTTGACCAATCTTCCAGCAATGCCAAATCCTTTTCCATGTTTCATACACCTCCAGGGATATCAACCCTATTACACACCTTTGTGTCATTAGGAAAGAGACATACTTTACCCAACAAACCTTTAGTTGCATCACTTACAACCCTACATATCTTTGGCAGAGAGCAGGAGAGTTTGTGGAGCAGTTTTGCAGAGCCACTACATAGTCTAGATGAGACACCTTCGTCAAGCATTAGAGGGTGGAGTGCTGTCGCATCAGGATCTTGTCTTCAGCAGGAAGGTTGTCCTGGAATATGACTGGGGAAATTTCCTGTTAAGCCGGCCATACATGGGTCGAAATTAGGCCGGTTCAGCAGGGACCAGAAAAATTTCTATCTATGTATGTGCTGGCTGGTTGTACAAAAGTTGATCTATTTATGTGTACAACCAACCTGTCTGGTTTTTCCCAAATGATCAGTGCCACTGGCTATAGGAAGGCTCCCTGCTGTCAGAATACAGTACCACAGCGGGAAGGATTCCTCATTTCACATCAAAGGTCTTTTTTTTTTTTTTTTTTTTTTTTTTTTTTTTTTTTTGTTCAACGCGCTGATTGAAAATGATCAATATATGGGCTTAGTCTTACCAGTAACAGTATTTGTAGGAATCTTCTAGGACAGTATTCCTAGTTCTCACCCTATGTTTTGCTTTTTGGGTGGTGGTGTTCCCTCGTGCACTGATGGAGGTACTCTAAATTAATTTACACTCAGCTGAGGGGCGAGGAGGTGGGACGGGCTTTTAATCGGTTTGGCTTGTGTTTCCTGTGGAAAGAAACTTCTATCTCTCATGTGACTGTCCTGGAAAATTCTTAGAAATACCTTTTTTTTTTTTTTTTTTTTTTTTTTTTTTTTTTTTTTTTTTTTACCTGTAAGACTAACAGGAAATGTGTGTAGTACAAGGTTAAGAGAATTCCACTGAACTCTATTGAATGCCTTTTCTGCATCCAAAGCTAGGCGCAAAGAAGGTGTTCACGTTTTTTCTCAAAAATAGATAATGTTGTAGAGTTGCCTTGTGGTATCCGATTTTTGTCTGACCTTGGTAAATCTAGATTGATCAAAGATAGCCTACCTCCTAGGTTTGCTGCTATCAGTTTTGCATAAAGCTTTAAATATATATTTAAAAGGGAGATAGGAGAAACCTTTAGGGGGACATTTGGCTACTTCCCTGGTTTTGGTAAGGTGATTGTAAGAGCAGCAGTATTATATATTTTTTTCCAAACATAGATTTTAATTGCTTGTAGTATTCACCAGCAAAACCATCCAGCCCGTGGGATTTATTATTAGGAAGTGTCGATAGATTTGTAGATTTCAGTTTAAAGAGGAGCTCCAGTCTCCTGTGTAAAAATGTTAAAGTTCACAGGTACTAAGACTGTAGCTGCTGACTTTTAATAAACAGCCACTTATTTGTCCATGATCCACCTCTGTGCACACCCCTGCTGTTTACACCTCCTGTTGTCTTTCCACGGCACCGGCATCTTAACTTTGGGCACTAAGCTGTGGCAGCCTCCAGCTTCACAGCTGGATGCCCATTGCACATGTGCAAGCCACGCTGTGCATTGTGAATGATCCCGCAGATTTCTGGGACCTGTCACGTGTCTTAGAAGACTGCAGGGAGGGGGGGGGGGGGGGGTGAGGAGAGCTTCTGCTTCTGATCGCCTAGGCAATCTGAGCGGAAGTGCAAGTGGGGACCTGTCAAAATTAGGTACCCCCCCAAAAGTGCTATTTCACAAGCAAGAGTGGGGGAGGAGGCCTTTAAAGTGGAACTTCCCCTTTTGGGTGCAGCTCCACTTTATTAATTCATTTAAATTCTCCATTCACCTTAAACTGTCCTAAGTTTGCCAATAATACCCACAGCTGCACTAAAAAAAACCCAATGCAAAAGTGTAAAGAAACTCAAATTAGTAAATATTGTTGAGCTGTCCCGTTTAAATATAATCCTCAGCAAACAACATGATATATGCAATAAATGCACCATATAAATATGCGGTACCCTTTAACATCAAAAAGGATCATTTCAAATATATGAAAATGACTTGGTGTTTAGAATATATGCACCAAATGTGCTAAACCTATAAGTAATTAAACTGTGATCAGTTTTACTTTAATACAAAACAAATATATATTTCAACTCTGCATATATGACACTACTAAAAATGCTCCTCCCTTAAGTGAATAACCAAAGTCCGTAGTCCTAAGACCCCAAATTACAGGTGGTTTTAGTAAGCTCTCATCGCTCAGAATGCAGTTGTCGCCAGGCACATAAAGACCTCCTGTGATGAAGTCAGCACAGGCTCTGCCGAGTTATCAATGGTATTTGAAAGATTTTTAATGCCTTACATTCAGAGATGCTTGTCAGTAAATGTATACTTGTTTTACTTTGTTAAAAGTATACAGTTTTTACACAATGGGTTACCATTTTTTTTGTTTTTTCTCTTGACAGATTGGTATGATTGAAGCGAGCGTGTGTATTAGGGGGTCCTGTAGTATCTTGTTCCTGGTTCTTAAAGGTGCCCTGTCTCCTTGGCCCCTGATGTAAGGAGGAACTGTAATATGGAATGTGATGTAAGGGGGCTGTGATGGAGACTGTGATGTAAGGGGGGCTTTAATGGATACTCTAATGTAAGAAGTGACTCTGATGGGGACCCTGATTTAAAGGGCACTCTGATGAGAAAGGTGCAGACTGAATACATTTTTGTCCAACCTATATTAATGACTCAAGTTTTATTTGAGATTTCTTTGCTTTGTTTTTTTACTGAAGTTTTTTGTTTGCTCTGAATCCTATCATGCTGATTACAAAAGAGCCTCCAAGTAGAATGCATTAATTCATTTAAATTTACTTAATGCATTGATTTTTAAAACTGCTCATTTTGGTCCTGTGACTATTTGCAAAATTTACAATGTACTCTTTGTTAGTGGTGCACCAAAATGAAAATTCTGGTGCTGAAACCAAAAACACAAAATGCACTTGGCCGAAAACCAAACCCGAAGTGCGCAGGTTTAGAAAAAAATACACTTTTGATTAAAAAAAAAAATTATTTTTTTAAATATGAAAGAGGATGTTACGGTGAGTAAATAGATACCCAACATGTCACACTTTAAATTGTGCACGCTCGTGGAATGGCGTCCAAACTGCGGTGCTTAAAAATCTCCATGGGTGAGATTCTGTTTTAGTGTTGAGAAGTGCATTAAAGCTTTGTTTCGCAGCCATCAGTTAATTGAATTTTTCATATTTTTGTTTTCTTTTAGTGAAACAGCTAATTAGAAACCTTTTAAAGACGGATCCAACGCAAAGAATGACTATCACAGAATTCATGAACCACCCATGGATAATGGTATGTAGGCACAATATATATCGCTCGTGAGCAGGAATTCACATTTAAGGCGGTGAATTCCAATAAACGCGAAGGTTAAAAAAAGGTTACGAAACAGAAACAAGGGGGTGCAAAGGCCTAGTGCATTACCTAATATAATATGGTGTGAAATGCATACATACAGTGCTACAGGCATAAAGCGATGTAAACCAAACCCAAGCAACAGAATGATCATGATGTAGACGTGTCACCAAGACCCAAGCATCACTCAGACTTGCAAACGGACGCGTTTTGGAGGAACAGACCCTGTTCCTCACAGCATAGCTCTTCTGTATATGAATTCCCCTTTTTATATAACAACACTACAACCAAAACAAAAAACAAATCTAGCCCATCCCATAAATAGGGTAGGGACAATTAAACAAACAGAAGTTGTCACCCAGAGCCAAAAAAGTCCAGTGATTGTGTTAGAATTACAATTGATGCCTTGCCTGCAATAGTGCTGCTACTACTGTATTGCAGGTATGACCTAAATTGTAATACAACTACTGCAGGGGGTGTGTGTGTGTGTGTGTGTGTGTATATTGTGTGTGTGTGTGTAATATATATATATATATATATATTTTTGGCTGTGGGGCGACAACTTCTGTTTGTGCTATGATCCCTCCCCCATTTAGCGGGTGGGCTTGTTTTGTATTAGTTGTAGAGTGCATGAGTTTGCCTGGATCTTGGTGATGCACATCTACATTTCTGACCACTCTTGGGTCCTGTTTACATGTTTTTCCTTGTGATACTGTGTGTATGTATTTGACACCATCTTGCATTCAGTAAATGTTATATTGGGTAATGCACTGGGCCTTTGTGCCCTGAAAAGAGCAGCATTGGTGAAGCATACCAGGTTATAATGAGGATGGACACCAGGATGTCCCCGATTTAATGATGCTACTCTGGTTCTCACCAACATCTTATCGCTATGGTGTCAAAACATGAAGGTTAGCCAATCTCCATCATCCTTCAAGCCTTCTTGTCATGTTTTTTTGTGTTTAGATTTCCCAGTTGATAAAAATCCTTGAAATACTAATACAGGAAAAGTGAAGGATCATTAGTAGAAGTTTCTCAGCATTAAAACAATATTTAATTTTAAATCTGAAATTATTTAATACCAATACATTTCAAATATATCTGCTTGCTGATTTGCAAGTCTATGCAGTTTCTTGCTGATCTTTTATCCATATTTGCCCAAGGTGGCATTCGTAATGAGTTGTATATATTTTTTACCCAGGTGCCCCTGCCTCTTTTCTGGTACCAATGCTGACCATTTGGCTGCACCAAGATTTAAACCACACCTATTTATTGACCTATAACATAAACCACTTCAGGACAACTTGGGTATACACACTCTTATCTGACCTATGCTTGCTTAACCATTTTACAACCGCAATATAGGCAAAGAATGGCTACAGTGCGGTTGTCCAGTTCACAGCAGATCATAAAGTACATACAGTTGCAGCATGAGGAAAGTATTGCTGATTAACCGGCAAATGTCACAGAGCAGATCTGCACTGATCATCAGTGCCGCCTAGCAGTTGCGCTAATCAGTTGCAGCTCATAATCAGAAAAATGCTGTTTGCTAATTTTTATAATAGAAAAGAGAAAAAGCTCTGTGCAACAAAAAATAAAAAATTAAATACCACCAAAAAAAGCTCTGTGAAAAAATTATAAAAGTTTCATATGGGCACAATGTTGCATGACCGCTCCATTGTCATTCAAAGTGCAACAGCACTGAAAGCTGTAAATTGGCCTGGGCAGGAAGGAGGTAAAAGTGCCTGGAAGGCAAGTTGTTAAAGTGGAGCTTCACCTAAAAAGAGAAGTTCTGATTTTCCTCCTCATCCCTCTTCCTCTTCTACTTTTTTGTTTTTTTTGTTTTTTTTTTTCTTGGAGCAGGCACCTATTTCTGATAATTACCCGATCCCACTTCTGCTCGCCTAGGCAATGTTCTGCTGGAACTATTGAAAGTTATGCCTATGGCTCTGCTATTTTGTGTTGATGTTCTAGCGAATGTTCGCCAGATTTCTAGGATAACATTGCTCTCTGTGCATTTGTGCAGAATTTTGTGGTTAAAGACTTGGTCTGCTGAACCTGCTTGCAAAAGGTATCTTTTTTACATGCCTTTTGATGGCAAACACCTGTTTGGCTAATCCATTGATACATTTTTCAAGGCATTTACTTAGGGAAGGTACGTTTACCCCATACAAACAGCCAAAACTAGCTACTACCTCTCCTTTCTCTCCACCCAGGTGCCCTTCTCTTAAGTCAAAGGCATGTCCATCCTTTTGTGGGCTTGGACCCCAAAACACCCCAAACTTACCCAAAAGCCCTCCTCACAATAAAGGAGGGCTGACCTAACTCTTTTGAGGTAGGGGGACTTCTGTTGGCATCTGAGCCAGTCTGAATCAGTCCTGGACCTCTGGGTTCAATATGCACTTATCTGCAGCTAGGCCTAATAGTATTGTAACTGGTATTCAAGCTCCTTAATCATTATGCCTTTCTTGAGGAACGTCTCGACCTACATGATTGACAAGGATCAATCAGTACAGCTCCCTTCCATTGTGGAGCATTCAGGAGTTCTTGCAAGGCAAGGGTCCTTTGATCTGTAATTATTCTTTACATACAAATTATAACAAGGGCTTCATCTGGAGGCTGCAACATCTATATCCCGAAAGATTTGAAATCTTCCTCTGCAGCAGATTGGGTGATCTACTTCCCATACTGGACAGTGTTGAGTGTGTCACTTGTGACCTCAGTGTTTTTTTCCTAGAACCAAAATATTGACTTTCTGATACCCTGTTATGATGACCCCCATTTTGAATGATGCCGGTTGTGCAAATGAGTGCCCCCCCTTTCTTCTTTGCAAGGAAGTATCTGTTGCTGGAAATTCCTGTACTCCACTGGGGTCAGCAAGTGGTTACCCTGCTACAAATCCTCCCTAAGTGGGATATAGGGTGAGTCAAGGGGCCTTTGTGGGACCACATTAACAGGAAAATAGATTATCTTCTTTGACCAAGCTTCAGTTTTCTGAGGAAGTCTCAGATTTCTCCTTTCTTCGTATTTTTTATCAGGTGAATATGCCTAGTATTAATACTAGGATCCCTACTCCTCGGTGGAGGATTCTGCTAATTGCAGGATTAGGTTGGATGATTCCTAGAATCCAATATTTTAATTCTGGTTAGGCAAGTTTCACTATAACTACTACACCCCTGAAACAACTACAGGTCTTTGTTTCAAGGGCTACTTCTCATCCTTTTGGCACGATGATCTGCTCCTTTGTTTTGTTACGATTATAACAATCATTGCCTACCCTTTCATACATGTGGTCTTGATCATCCCAGCTTTTCCTTAAAGAATGGTTTACTTTCCTGTCACTCTTTCAGTTTAATCCTATATCGAAGAGAGAGCTTTCATAGGACAAATCTCTTAAGAGAAACATCCATCAGGCAACATTGTTTTTATGCACAGACCTCCTTCTCACTGATGTCAAGGGTCAAGTGTGTTTAACTTAAGCCTCTGTCCCTTGTCTGCTTTGTCTTTTTTTATTTGTACATGTTCAGTCCAAACTTTCTTTCCCTGAGGGTTAGGTATTTTAAAGGTAAAGTGTTAGTTCACCTTTACTAGAAAACTGCCCATGCAGATAAGGGACATCTGTAGATAAAAAACAAACTGCAACTTTGACCAAAGTTGAATAATGCCCTTGCTGTAGGTGTATGCCATTTTAAGTACCTCCATGATGCCTGACTGGAAAACTCCTAGAATGTTGCTAAGAGTCACCTAGCTGTTACTGTTCACCTTCACCATCACAGGATCGATCTCCCAAATGCTGAGCTCAGAGTCACTGCGTCTGGGGAGAGAGAGTGCATGTGCTGGTGGTGGCGGGGGCAGAGGGTAATCAGAGAAAGAGAACCTGCTCCTGTTATGATCAATGCAACAAGGAATCCAAAGCTATGAATGGAACAGAACCCAAAAGACAGAATGGTTTTCATTATTTTAATTATGCTTTTACATTTTAAACTTTTAATTTTGAGATCTTGGGAGTATAGATCATTGTCCTATCATGTGCTTATCTTATAAGACACAAACAGCAGACACACTGAACTTTATTTCCTTTTGTCCTTTTTGTATTGCAAAAACAACAGCAATCGATGCAAGTGCCACCAACTCCACTACACACCAGCCGGGTTTTAAAAGAAGAGAAGGATCTGTGGGAAGATGTTAAGGTAGGAATTCTGTTGAACAAATTGTGTCTTTAACTGTTAAGGTGATTATGTAGAAGAAAAAAAAACTTATTAAAAAAAAAATATATGTATAATATAATTTTTTTTTTTGTTATAAAATCTACAAAAAGAAATAAATATATTTAGAGTGAGTCTTTTCTATAATCATGAACTTCTCTTCAATCATAGCTGCATTTCCAACTTTTTTTCTCCTAGAACACAGTGTTCTTAGGTATCAAATTGGAAATACAGTCACTAAGTTTATTATCTTCGATCACAGGGTAATAAAGAAATAAAACCTCAATAGGTATGTAAAATTTACATAAAAACAGAATGCAATGATTTGCAAATCTCATAAACCCATATTTTATTCACGATCGAAAACATAAAATGTTTTAAACCAGGGGTAGGTAATGCTAAAGAGGTGGAGATCTACCAGAACAACATGGGAAGTGGAAAAAATTACTGGGCACAGGGTCGCCTCCTCACACCTGATTTAAATCTCTAATTGCTGTACTTATCGCAACATATCGCCTCCTTGCCACCTGTCAAACACACTTGGATCGCTTTTTAGAGGAGCAGCAGTGCCTGCTGCACTTGCAGGTGTGGTGCACTTTCTGAAAGTGCACGAAAACATCTGCATTCAGGGGTTTTGGTGCACTTTCAGAAAGTGTACCAAATGAGCAGGATATAATAGAAGTCTCTAGCTAATGGTTCACCGAAATGAAAATTCTGGTAACAAAACGGAAAAATCAGGATGCACTTGGCCCGAAAACCGAAATGGACAGTTTTTTTTTTTTTTTTTTTCAAATGCAATTTTTTTGGAAAAAGCATCGGGGGACAGGGGGGCACTTTTAAACATTTTTTAAATTTATGTATTTATTATTTTTTTACACTGTTCCTTTAAGTTTTTTTTTTTTTTTTTTTTTTAATCACGTTCTTATCACAAAAAATGCAAACCTCCATTGTGATAGAAATAAGCAGTGACAGGTCCTCTTTATGGAGAGATGTGGGGTCAATAAGACCCCACTTCTCTCCTCTACATTATAAAGCATTACATATAAAAAAAAAAGAATTGATCTAGTTCTTTAAAAAAAAAAAAAAGACCTTGTTTACAAGGTGCCGGAACCAGAAGTGACATAATGACGTCGCTCCAGTTGTCCAAAGGCATAGAGATGAGTGAAGGCCATCTTTCCTTCATTGACCTCTGTGCCGACCGCCAGGATCGTTGGATGGGTTCTCAGGTAAGGCTACGTGGGCAGGGTTATTTTTGGCACCTGTAACAGTGCCTATTTTTATATCGGCCAAAGGCCGATAGGGGAATTTTCGGCCACCGAAATTTCAGTGCATCCCTATGGCTAAGCCAGTGTTTCTCAACTCCAGTCCTCATGGACCCCCAACAGGTCATGTTTTCAGGATTTCCCTTAGATGAAACAGCTGTGGTAATTACTAAGGCAGTGAAACTGATCAAATCACCTGTGCAAAATAATGGAAATCCTGAAAACATGACCTGTTGGGGGTCCATGAGGACTGGAGTTGAGAAACACTGGGCTAAGCACATCAAACCTACAGGAATCAGTGTGAAAGCAGCACTATACTATTATGCCCAGTGTATTGCTTCACACTGGTCTGAAGATCTCTTCTTTCCTGCTGCTGGCATCACTGTGGAGACCGCTAGCTGGGATAAGAGGTGCAGTTGGTATCACTCCATATGGGACAGGATCCAGCAATACAGATGAAGCATTGGCTTATGCAGCTCTTATTGCCCACTACAGCTCTAACTTTACAACTAGTCCTTCTGCATTGCTGCGATGGAGGGTCAGCAATCCCAGGCCATGATCTACCAGTCACCTGGCAGTGAACTATTGGTTACTGACCCCTGGTTTAAACTGAGAAAATCTATCATTTAACTAGTTGCCGACCGCAGATAGCCGAATGACGGCTGCACTGCGGCCGGCCAGTTCTGAGTGGACGTCATATGACGTCCTCCCAGAACGCGCTCTCCTGGGCGCGCACCGCCATCCGCCGATCTCCGTGATCGCTGTGTCCTACGGACACAGCTGATCACGTGATGTGGTAAAAGGCCAATCACAGCGGCCTTTTACCACGTGATCAGCGGTGTCCAGTGACACGCTGATCAGAGGGAAATGCAAGTGCCGGTTCTCGGCTGCACTTTCCTCACGCTGTGAGATCGTGAGGAAAGTACTGCCGAGAACCGGCAGTTGTCAGAGCGGGGATCGGCACCGATCATCAGGGCACTGATGATCAGTGCCCTGATGATCGGTGCCCAGCAGTGCCACCCGCAAGTTCCGCCCACCTGTGCCCAGCAGTGTGCCCACTAGCTCCGCCCACCTGTGCCCAGCAGTGCACCCACCTGTGCCACTCTGCAGTGCCACCCACCTGTGTCCACCAGTGCCGCCCAGCAGTGCTGCCAGTCAATGCCACCAGTCAGTGCCCAGGGGTTGTGCCAGTCAGTGCCGCCAGTCAGTGCCCAGCAGTGATGCCAGTCAGTGCCGTCTATCAGTACCCATCATCAGTGTCACCTATCAGTGCCGCCTATCAGTGCTGCATATTAGTGCCGCCTATCCGTGACACCTCATTAGTGCTGTCTATCAGTGCCGCCTATCCGTGACACCTCATTAGTACTGCCTATCAGTGCCCTTTAGTGCTGCCTATCAGTGCCGCCTCATCAACGCACATCAGTGAAGGAGAAAAAATACCTGTTTGAAAAATTTTATAATAGAAACAAAGAAACTTTTTTTTTTTTTTTTTTTTCAAATTTTTTGCACTTTTTTTAATTATAGCGCAAAAAGTAAAGCGCCCAGTGGCGATTAAATACCACCAAAAGAAAGCTCTATTTGTGAGAAAAAAATGATCAAAATTTCATATGGGTACAATGTTATATGACCACGCTGAAAGCTGAAAATTGGCCTGGTAAATAAGGGGGTATAAGTGCCTGGTAGGCAAGTGGTTAAAAAAAAAAAAAAAAAAAAAGGTAATTTTGAAATTGATGGCAGCAGCACATCTCAGAAAAGTTAAGACAGGTTAACGAAAAGTTGGCAAAGAAAGTTGTACTGGTAGAACATTTTGCAACTAATTAGGTTAGTTGGTAAAAGGGTTTGGGAATAAAAAGAGAATCTTAGAGAATCAGACTGTCTCAGATGTAAAGATGGAGAGAGGTTCACCAATTTGTGAAACGTCTAAAATTTCTCAGACAATTTCAGAATAATGTTCATCATAAAATTACAAAGACTTTAAATATATCCTCATCTTCAGTACATAATATCAAACGAATCTAAGAATCTGGAGGAATCTATTTGCGTAAGGGACAAGGCCGAAATGCAGTATTTGATGCCCATGATCTTCGGGCCCTCAAATGGCACTGCATTAAAAACAGGCATTGATTCTGTGATGGACATCACTGCATGGGCTCAGTAATACTTCCAAAAATAACTGAACACCGTTTGCAAGGTAAAGCTCTATCATGCAAAGAAGAAGCCATATGTGAACCTGATCCAGAAACTCCTCCATCTTCTCCGGATCAAAGCTCATTTAAAATGGTCTGTTGCAAAGTGGAAAACTGTTCTATGGTGCATTTTGTGTGTATGGAATGGGCAGCTTTACACATCTGGAAAGGAACCAACAATGCTGAAAGATATGTACAGGTTTTTACAGCAGCGTATGCTAAGGCAAGAATGGGACAACATTCCTCTTCAAGAACTCCAGCAACTGGTCTCCTCAGTTCCCAGACATTTACAGAGTGTTGTTAAGAGGGGATGTTACACCATGGTAAACATGGCCGTGTCCCAACTTTTTTGAAATTGTGGTTATACTTTGCCAGCTGTTTGTTGCCCTGTCCCAACAGAGATTTCTCCAGATTCTTAGAATATTTTGATATTATGTACTGTAGATGAGGATATATTTAAAGTCTTTGTAATTTTATGAGAAACATTCTGAATTTTTAGACACAGCTTTTCACAAATTGGTGAACCTCTCCCCACCTTTACTTCTGAGACAGTCTGATTCTCTAAGATGTTCTTTTTATTCCCAATACCTGTTTGCCAATTAACCTAACTAGTAGCAAAATGTTCTTCCAGCTCTTCCTTGTTGTTACCACTTTCTTTGCCAGCTTTTTGTTGCCCCAACTTTTTTGAGATGTGTTGCTACCATCAGTTTCAAAATTACCTTATGTTTTAAAAAAATGTAAATTGTAAGTGAGAAAATTTACCATTTTAAGTATATTTCTATTGGGAATAAAATATGGGTTTATCAGATTTGCAAGTCTTTGCATTCTGTTTTTACATAGATTTTACAATGTTCCAACTTTTTTGGAATAGGGGTTGTATTAAAATTACATAAAAAAAAAATATAAAAGCTGTTTCACATATAAAACTTGCACACAGTACTATTACAGCTGCTTGAACAAATCGATCCACTAGTGATGGAATCCGCTAATGCATCCTGTCAAATCATTGATTTTCAAAGGCGGAGCTATATCTACACTATACTTGTATTTGTTTCCTCCCATCGTTCAAACTCCTTCCTCAGGTATGTTTTATCTTCAGATTTAGATTCCAGAGTGTCAAAGGCCAGTATTTGCACCATAACCTATCGTCCTCACCAAAGTTATAAACCTCTTTAGGTTATTTTCTCGTGTTTAGCTGATCATATAATATTCTATGATTGGCCCAAACCAGCTTACTGCTGGTCTCCTGACACTCTGTGGAACGTGCTCAATCACATCCACCAAAAAACAAGAAATAGTGAGCAGTGCGGGAGTGTGTGGACAGTTATACCTCATCTCAGCTGGCCGAGGGATAACATTCTTAGGCTTCTAAACGCAGCCTAGAGGCAAGTAACAGGGAAGTGTTCATCCCCTAATTCACCAGGGATGTTATGCACAATTCTTTTTAACTATATTTTTTTTCTCATAATATATTTTTTCCAATTGCAGGAAGAAATGACTAGTGCTCTGGCCACAATGAGGGTCGACTATGAACAAATTAAAATAAAGAAAATAGAAGATGCCTCCAATCCTTTGCTCCAGAAGAGGCGGAAGAAGATCACACCTCATGTTGCCACCCACTGAGCCTATGCCTGTTTTCACTTTGCCCTAGAACTGTTAAAGTCTCACCAGCCACTGTTAGCTGTAACTGTGGTATCTAAGTGCCACTGTAATATTTAGGGGGAATGGCTGTGCATCTTGGGACTCTCACTATGTGCTCCACAGTCTGGAAGTTTTAATTTTAGTTTTAATTTTCTGTTTTTAGAGACTATCCACAATGTATGTCTGTGTGTTTCTGTGTGTAAATGAACTTTATTTTTTATTTTATTTTTTTTTAGGCAAAATTTAGGTTTTTAATCATCAGCTCCACCCCATACAGATATTTCAGTTGCATGGTTGATAGCAAACCGAATTACACAGTGGCTGTTTCTCAAGGACTCAAGTACAGAGCTGGTGCCAGACACTGACTAGAGAGATTGGGAAGCACTGTAACTTTAATGGGTAGGCACCCTTACTGTGGAAGAAATAATAGGAAATACTATAAGGACATGTGTGGGAGGGACATAATCAATTTTTGGAAAGCATTACCTCCCCATGGCTCTGGCTCTGCCCCAGTACCTAAATATCTCCATCAAAATTCCCAGTTCCGCAGCCAGCCTGTGATTTAGTCCTTTGGTGCTGATCGCTACTGTTTGTCCCAAGTATATCTCATGACAGTTGTATTTTGACTGTAGCCCTGCAGAGGATTATACTGAGATTTGTGTCCTGTTTTAAAAGTTTAATGCACTTGCAAAGCCCTGTTGTAAGATTGGTTTGAATCAGTATTCAGTAGCTACTCTGAAGCTGAATTCATCTTTCGTTGCCAAATCCTTTAGCATATAGGCCCCCTGCTTCTTTAGGCCTCATGCACACAGGACATTAAAAAAAAAAAAAAAACTCTCCTAGAAGCTGTCCTGGCAGCAGTGTTTTTGCAGAAAAAACACCTGACGCATGTAAAAGCGTTTAGGTGTGTTTACAAGCATCAGGTGCTTGGGCATTAATTCCTGTTATTGGCCAGAATGATGATTTATTCTGGCCACTGAAATTAATTAACTCTCAAGCGCTAAACACACCTAGCGTTTAGCCACGTCAAGCATTTTTTTCTGCCAAAATGCTGCTGCTTCCTTGACTCCCTGACCTTCGGGTTTTTTTTTTTTTCTTGCTGGTAAACGCTACTGCTACTAAAAGCTTCTAAAATTCTGTGTGCATAGACAAATCGGATAACATAGAGCACCGTTTGGAAGCAGTAAAAAGAAAACCAAAAAGCACCTGATGTCCCTAAAAGTGGCTGCAAAAACGTTGTGTGTGTATGAGGCTTTTGAACAAATTGCTCTCACTTCCTGTTTTCCTGATGTTTTACCATACAGGAAGAGAAAAGAACTCTCCTACAGCAGCAAACACAGAAATAAAAAAATATTTTCTTTAGTAGACTATGGAAGGCAAAGTTATTTCTGTCAATGCCCCTATTGCAGACTTTCTCTAACCTCCTGTCCTGGTGACAAAAGCTTTACCTGACAGGAAGTGGGAGTGAATCTTTCCAACAAAGCCCCACATATTTGTAAAAATTTAGGTTCATATCATTCACCAGTCCATATAAAACCAGAAACAAATTGTGGGACATAAACGTTCGCAAGTAAAATTGCAGTCCAACTATTTTTTTTTTTTTTTTTTATTGCAGTCTGACTCTTTTGGGGAGATTCCAATTGTCACTGTTCCAGTGACAATGAAGGAAGTAAGAACAGTAAAAACTTAACAGATACCCAATTGCTTTACTTTGTCAGTATTCTGTCACTTCCTGTCCTGGTGACCTGACCGACCCTGAAGTCAGCCAAAGTTTCCCCAGCAGGCACATGGCAATAAAACCCTGGAAAATGTTTAAATCCTTTCTCACGCTTTCCAAAACTAAACAGTTTACCTGGAAGTTCTATATTAAACTGTATTAGCTGCTACTGATTCTAGTAAACCATGCTATGTGCTGAATGCACATGCAGCAGGAAACCCCTGCCATTTGCATTGATACCAGCTCTCACTTTTAACATTTTGCCAACAGTTTTTGAATAAGATTGCTGTTTTCATTCAACTATATGTTACATGACACAAAAAGTGCCATTTGTGCCTTGTTCTCTTTCCTTCTCTGTGCAGGACTGTTGTATTGCATATCATATGGGTTCAAATAGCAGTCTTATTCTGCATAAATACAGCTTGTAATAATATACTTTCTTACAGTTTGCTATGTCTTGTTAAAATAGCATTATATTGTCTCTCTGTAGTCTTTTATGTCTGTTTGTTTTTCTTTTGTTTGTTTGTTACCTACATTTAAAGTATAATTCAAGCCAAACTTTTATTTTTTAATTCGTTTTAGATTTGAACCGGTAAGGTTTAGATCCACTGTCAAGTTTTTATAGTGCAGTTCCAACCTAAATTTTATTTTGGATATAATGGGAAAGATTAGAACATCTGTCATGTGTTTTTTTTTTTTTTTTCTGTCTTTGACCCTATTGGGGAGGGTTTCTCTCTATTCCCATCTGTGATGTGGTCACCAAAGCATGAAGTGAGGAGAAATATAAAAACCTCTGTGAGGGTTAGACCGTAATAATGGATCCCAATATCCCAACATGGATCCAGACAAAAAAAAAAAAAAAAAATGTTCTAATCCCCCCCCCCCCCCCCCCCCCACGCACGCACGCACGCACGCACACACACACACCTCCCACAATAGTTTTGGCTAATGTTACATTTTATATAACTTTAAATGTAACCAGATATTTAGACTAAAAATGGTGATTGTGCTTTGCACACACATATTTAGTGTGTCACGACTGTCAAAAAGGGATGGAGCATCATTACTGATCTGGTGCACAAAACTGGTGCAAAGTCAATGAAGGACTTTATAAATATCAGCAAAAACGCTAGTTTCCCAGCTGGCATGCTCCAATACTTTGACCCAGGACAACTGTAGATAAAGAAGTTTGATTTAACAGGCAAACTCTGTACTTGTTTCTGTGGTAAGTAACTTGGAAAATATTGAAGCAGGAGACAGCCAGGAAACTTTCTTGATCATCAAGCGGTCAACTTCCCTTCTAATGGGATCCTATTGAAGAAATTTATTCTAGCTGCAAACATCCTAAAAGTTGTCATAAAACAGGCACATGTTATTTCATAGCAACTTGAGGGGTCTCTCCTCGTATTGTATTGTGACTGGCTATTTCCAGAGGACCCTTTTCAACAGCTGTTGTTGAATAATGAACTACAAATTCTTAAAGGAAGCCTGAAGAGTATTGGAAGCTATTTTAGAACTCTGAAAATACTAGCTCCCTGGCTGTTATGCTAATTCTGACTTTCTTGATTTGCATGCTTGTTCAGGGTCAGAAAGTATTGAAGCCAGAGACAGCCAGGCAGCTCACTTTTTATGCAATGACAACCTCCTTATTTCTCTCAGAGCACGTTTCTTTTAAGTTTTGCTGGATAAGAAAAGACAATGTATTTATTGCCGTATATTTTGCTAGTAGTATGCTTATTTTCTACAGGCTTTCAAGAAAAAAGTGGAAGGATAATAAACCATTTCTGGCCTTTCTGCTTGCTTCAACCTCAAACCTGTCAGCCTTATTTTCACCTTGCCAAGTTATGGTTCATGACTTTACGGTTATTGAAGTAGCTGTTAAAGAATGCCTGCAAGAATAGTAATGTGGGTGACTGCCAATGCTGTATTTTTAAAGATGCATGTTTTAGGGTAGTTTTAAATTATTACAGGTTAGTAATGACAGAACGATACAAAAAATTCCCAGTGCACTTTTCCAGTTAGTATAAAAAGCATACTACAACTTTCTAATATTTTAGATTATATTTGTTTTTCTTACATACCTATGCATATGCATGTGAAGTCCCACTGCTTCTCAAGGCACCTTTATAAAGTGTGGTTCCTTATTCCAAACTATATGAGATCCTAACCACATATATATATAATGACGACATGTATACAACAATTATTAAGTTGACTGTAGGCATGCCTTGGATGTAGCTTTCATCCTTCCAAGGGTACTACACACCAGAAGCCCAGATTCTGCTAAGGCAGCTGAAGACTTCCAATGTATTCACCAAATCCAACAGACCAAAAAAAATGGTAGCCACCCAGGTTCATTTAGAATTGGCAAAAAAGAAGCCCTTTGAGACATGCCTGCTTTTAGTTTATTCATTGCTCTATATTTGTATTATGTTGGGTGCTCAGAAAGGCAGCAAGCACACGTTGCAGATGTTTCTTGAACCGGCAGTGTGGTTTTACATGTGTTTGCAGATATATGCAGGAAAAACATCAGTTTTTAAGCCAAAAATTTGAAACCGTTGAAATAGTTGTTTGTGCTGACTAACTGGAGAAGGTGATTTTAGTATTATCCTGTGTTATTGCCCAGCCAATGTCCACCTCTCTGTTTGCTAGGTAAAGTGATTGTAAAGCCAGAATTATTTTTTTTTTTACTAACAGATATGTTATACTTTCCTACTCTGTGCAGTGGTTTTGCACAAAGTAACCCTGATACTCCTCTTCTCAGGTCTCCCACTGACACTTCTGGCCCCTCCCTCCTGCCAAGTGCCTCCATAGTAAGCAGGTTGCTGTGGGGACCTCCATGCTGCTTCTCTGTGTGTCAATTCACACAGACTCTGCCCAACCAATGACTGCTGTCTTAGCCAATGAGGAGGGAGAGACCTGGGACAGCCGAGAGCTGGATTGAGATTGGGGCTCATGTAGGTATTGGGGGAGGGGGGCCTGGGGGGTGCTGCTGCACACAAAAGGTTTTTTTTTTAATTTTTTCTTAATGCATAAAGGTACAAAACCTAGAGCCTTTACAACCACTTTAAAGATTGATCTGAGTGGTTGACATTTTTGCGTTTGAAAGATGAGAATGACAGGCCTGAAACATTCACCTTTAAAAAAAATCAGCAGGTGCAGTTCCCATACTGATCGTCTGCCAAGTTTAATAATGCACAATGTTTATACTATGTCAGGCACTGGTCAATTGTCATAATCAAGTTAATGAGAGAGTTTTGAAAAC